GCACAGATGTCTACAGCATGTGACAAGGTTTTTCCATCATCTTCTCTTTCCCTAAGCTGAACAGGCACAGAAGTAAAGCAAAAAGGAAAGAAGCAAGCACACCAAAGAGGGAGGGATTGCCTGGAGACCCAGGATGTCCTCCCAGCTACACAGTGAAGGTGGAGGCCAGAAGAAGAGGCTGTGAATGGGAAAGCCACAAGGTGCCAGGTGTGAACTGTGTGCTGGAGACCTGCTGAGACACATTTGCAAGAGTTGTTTCAGTAGGAACAGATCTTAACACAAGAAGTTGTCCAGAGCAAGAGACACAGCAAAGGACAAAGTGGGTGACATCTAAGCAAGCTTTGTTGTGGAAGTTGGGGCTGTTCATTCAGCCTCACCACTGAACAACCTCACCCTGATCAGAGCTGCTGGTTTTAGTTTGCTAAATAATTGTGTCCTTTAGAAAGAGAAAAGAAATAAGTTCTCTTTCCATTTCTTTTTACCAAGCCAAAGATCCTTCTCCAACCAGACAAGGAGTTAATGAACATCCATCCACTGTTCCACTCTCCAGGCATGTGGCAGAAGTCTCTGCTGGCCCTGGAGCAGGAAGAAGCAGCCTGGTGATCCCCATCTTCTCACTGCTGCCAGCAATTATCACAAAATGACTTTATTGTGCACGTGACAGTTGGTGACAGTGACCCAGGGAGGTTTATCAGCTCCTGGGCCACAGGTTCCACAACATCTGCTCGGGTGAAGGCTCCTTGCTGCTGGCCAGCCCCAGTGAGCTGGACTTCAGCACAGCAGCAAGAAGCAGCTGCAGTCCTTGGGGCAAGACAAAGCATCAAACACGGGCTCCTCATCCCTGCCCAACAACCCAGCTCCATTAATGGCCAGGTCCTAAGCAAAGCAGGACCTGAGGCAAGTGCCAGGCAGGAGGGAGCTGCACAGCAGGTACCAGGGCACCAACAGGCTGTGTGGGGCTGGTGGACAAACCAGCAGGACCTCCAGAGGCTGGAGCTGCCACCAAAGGAGAGGGTGGGAAAGCCAAACGACAAATGGAGAGTGTGGAAAAGCCAAAGGAGGAAACAAAACGTGCTTTAGGAAGAGATGCAGCTCAGCTCATGGTTTAACAGGCACAAATCCATTTCCTCCAGGGCAAGGGAGATGTGGAGCTTAGAGGCAGCTGAGTTGTGCTCATCCACACTCCTTCATCCAGCATGGAATTTGGCAAGGGTAGGAAGCAAAGCTCCTCACTCCACAGCTGTAGTGTCCTGTGTCCCCATGAGGACTCCTGGGCACACCAGAACTCCTACAACCCTGCACCATCTGTGCCTCAGTGGAGTGAGCTTGGTGAGCACCAGAAACCCAGGGCAAGGTGGTGGGGGCTGTGTGGAAATGTCCATTCCAGCCAGTGAGGCCGTGATGGAGACAGCAAGGTCTGATCCTGGCCTTTGCTCACTGATCCAGGCACTTCCTTGGAAGCAGGGACAGCTTTTTAGGGCATCATTTCAATGATGTTAGTTCTTATTACCACAACCCAGCAGACCTCAATTCAAAGGGAGGCTCCGTGGGGGTGTCAATGCCAACGCAGCAGCTTCCTCCCACTCCTTGGATTCCTCAAGGTTTTCTCAAGAAAAACGACTAAGCTGCAAAAGATAAAGCTGGAGATTTCTTTCCTTCCACATAACCTGCAGCATTAGCCTCAGAGGGCAACAATTAGAGAGGAATTTGCAGAAAACTACCAGGGCTCAGGATGGGAAATGAAGGTGTTTAAATGAAGGCTGAGGAAGATGATACTTTAGGAGGTTCAATGTCAGCATGACCTCCAAGGGCTAGAAAGAAAGGCCACTGCAAGGCAAGGAGGCCAAAAAGGAAGCACCAAACCAGTGATTTAAAAGATAAAGGATTTTAGAACCACCTCTGGCTGTTTAGCAGCTGTGGGTCTCATGGACGAGCCACCTCGAGCTCATACTGGACCCTGGACAAGAATGCACCTCAAGCTTGGGTATTAATTTTGGGGAGAGGATGCAATGAAAGCCCTCTGCTCCAGCCTGGGTAGCAGAGAGGAAGGAAAAGACCATGTTCTTCTTCACCAGCCTCAGCTTCTCCTGGCTCAGTTTTACCCATCAGCTTTACCCAGCAGATCTGGGAGCCACCTTCTGCAGTACAAGAGACTTTAAACTTAGAAATGAAGAGACTTCAAACCCCCCAAAAAGTGTAATTTGGAAGTGCTCAACAGCCTTTAATTCATTATGAACCTAGAGGCAGAGAAATTAAAAAAAAATATGCAAAAAATACATCACATCCTTAAAGCTAGGGGGAGGAGGGGGAAAAAAAAAATCATTATTTTTATAGCACCTAATCAGACACTTACAAATATATTTCACTGGAAGAAGGGGGGTAGGAATGTGCATCTCCTGTTTCCTTTGCTGATGCCCAGAGGCCATCGACGTGGTCGTTCTGCTCTGCACAAGTCATTCCCCACCCAGAAAGAGGGATTTAAAACTAAACCAAAAGAAAAAGGGAGAAGCCTTGTGACAAGGAAGGGCACTCTACAGATCCAGGTTCACGTTTCAACAGAAGTCAGCATGGGAAGAGGGGGTGAGGAAACACACTTTTGTTTTTACAATATAAATAGTATTTTTTTTTTTAAAGTTACTACATATGAATACAGTCATGGTGCTATTTCAGTCAGGACTTCAACATGCAGAGGAAATTCCCCACGGCTCACAACCACTCATCCCAATCCCACCCTTCCCCTCCCACCTTCAAAAAAAAAAAACTCCTCTGCTGGTTAAATTCTCTTTCAATTGTTTAAAATATTTCCTCTTGTGGCCTGGCAACGTTTTTATTGTTTAATACAAGCAAGTTTTCTACTAAACCACATCTTAACCGACGGGAGACGGCTACGTGGGAGGAACAAGGGAGGCTTTTAAGAACCTTGCCAATGTTAAAAACTTTTATTAGTCTCAGTTTGGTTTGATTCTTGGAGACATCTATTGAAAACGTTAAAAACTCAAGGAATTTTTTTTTTAAAAAAAAAAAGTTTTTCAAATGTCTTAGAAACAAACACTCACACGCAACGGAAAGGACCCGTGGCAGAGGCAGGAAGGAATAAAGGGAACTCCAATTCTCTCCAGGGAGAACAAACCCCAAAATAATAATTAAAAAACAAACAAAAAAAAGCTTTATTCTATCTCCACTCTTTCACTAGGACAGTTTAATACCCATCGAGTCTCTTAAGATGCTAATCTACCATCTGCTAACCCACAAATCCTTCCCACTTATTCCCTTAAAGATCCAGCTAGAGCGTTGCTTAAAAACCTCTCTGCAGAACAACAACCACCTTGCAAAGGGGCTTAGGAAAAAAAAAAAACAACCAAAAACCAGAATATTGACTCTTTCTGTCCAGTACTTCCAGGGAATGAAGTAGAAAAGATTGCTGGGCAGCATTCTGCACCCTTGCCCCCCTTCAGCCCCACTGGGGAAGCCACGTCCCCTTTCCAGCTCTGTACTGGGGTTGCCTTTTCCTCTCCCTCTGGAAGGATGGAGGCCCTCCAAAGAGGGTGGAAGACTTTCCAGTGACTTCAGCAGGGGGTGGGATCAGGCTCTTTTACAAAACACTGCTCTGTAACAGCTCTTGGACCAGAGGTGGTTTTCAAGTGTTCAAGTGGGAGCTGCCCACTCAATACTTTAGGATTTGTTTTTGCCTTTAATGCCCGTTTGATTCTCAGTGAACTGAGTCCAATCAAGCAGAGGGCTCACGTTCCTCTTCCCCAGGAGTATCTCAAAGGCTCAGTCTTTACTTAAGTAAAGGATGTCACAACAATCAAAGATGTTTGGGGAATTTCTTCTTTAATAGGATAAAAGGAAAAAAAAAAAAAAACATACAAACACCTCCCAGGCTTCTGTCATGGAATGATTCTCACAACTGTAAGGAGCACAACTGAAAAATAAAAATAAAAATAAAATAAAATAAAAGGAGACAAAGAAATAAAAGGTCCCTATGGGAAACATGCCTACCAAAGAGGCAGAGCAAGCCCCTGATGCTCCAGCCTGCAGTGGGGAGGGGGGATGGCTCATAAAGGGACTAGCACAAGAAGCAGGAACAGAAGGCTGGCTGAAACAGAGTGGCAGGTTGGAACTGAAAGCCATGCTGGTTTGTAACTAGAAAGCAACTGTGATGGTTAAGGGTGGGGGAGGAAGATGACAAGGAGGACCAAAAATCTGGCCAGTTCTTCCCTAAGACCGTTGCTGGTGCCAGGGCAGCAATGCACACATCTACCACGTGTCTTTAAGAGAACTAATGGTAAGAAACATCCCAGCTAGGAAACATTTCTTTCCCCATCTCCCCCAGCTTACAAAGAAGATAGTGTTTCTTACAAAAAAGAACCCAGAACTTCCCAGGACATCTGCTCTTGCTCGCTCTCCCCCCGCTGTAATATTTAGTCACGTTTCACCTGGGGATGAGAGGGGGGAGGATTTTGTTTAGTTTCTGTTTTAAAGCCATATTCTAGAAAAATGTCTTGTGGAAATTTTTCTTTTCCCATTTTTTCATTTGTTTTCCTTTTTTTTTTTTCCTTTTTTTTTTTCCTTTTTTTTTTTTTTTTTATAATGCTCATTTATAGAAAACTTCACAAAGGTGACGTCTATGTACAGAAAACACAATTCCAAAGGCTGCTTCAGTAGTCAATGTAATAGCACCTTTAAAGACAAAAGAGTTTGACATATTTTTAAAAAGTCATTCTGGTAAATTTTAACCCTTTCCAAGCCTCAAAAAAAAAAAAAAGAAGAAGGAGCCAGTCACAAAGCTCTATTAGTAACAAACTCTTCCAAAGTCTCTGTGTGAAATGCTGTCTGAAGGTTTTTCAAGCTCCCTACTCTATTGGTCAGCAACATCTGGCAAAGGAGAGGTAGCGTGCAGCCAGATGGGATTTCCTTGCAGTCCAAACCAAGAGCAGATGAAAAATTCACAGCAGGCTATTGCACGAGTCCAAAGTTTCAAGGGTTTTAATTTTTTTTTCTTTTTTTCCCCCGTAGGCTTGAAAAGAGTTAATTTAATATTTTTAAATTCCTCCTGGTTAAAACATGTTGCTCCGAGCTCCAGGCTGGTACTGTGTCTGCAAGAGGCTCTCCATAAAGGCCAAATAATCTGGGCTCTGTCCGTATTCTTTGGGGTTCCTGGAATTCCCCAGCCGGGGACGCTTGGCTGGTCTCGCTTCATCTCCCAAAAAAACATCTTCCTGAGGGGCCCCAGTGCTGAGGGACTGCAGGAGACACGAAAGCACAAGTGTTAGAGGCAGGGAAACAGGCGTGGTGTGACCCGTGGAGAGGGACCAGCAAGGGAACAACTGCTCCAGAGTGTGTCTGCTGGAAAAGTGAGCTCTGAACACGCCACGCGCACGGCTGGGACGAAGAACTCTGGGTTTCTGAAGGCCAACTGGGAGCAGGAGCCCTCGAGTTGCCCTTTTTCTGTTTCAGAATGTCCTTCCCTTCAGTTCCTGCCTTGCTGACTCTGTTTACTCCTGCTCTGCCTCTTCAGGTTGTTCATTCCTAGGAGAAGGCACCAGGGCATCCCCAATGGCTTTAGAAAGGAAAGACCCAGAGAAACACCTGGGGATTGGTGTCCAAACCACTGCCTCTGCTCATCCTGCTCCTACACCCTCAAATAAGATGCATTTCTTGGTAGAAATTCTTATCTCCCAGTGCCTGGCTCCTTTGTTCTGCTGTGCTATGTTAAAGCACAGTGAGCAGCACGGCCACAGAGCACAGCCCAACACTTCTGGGAGCAGCAAGGACAGGAGAAAAGTCTCAGCTTTCAACCAGACTCAAAACTTTCTATTCACCTTCCAGCCTGCATTCCACTCTCCAGGACTGTTATAAAATCTGATGCTTCCACTGCAGGGAATAAGGGTCTTTCCAAATGCTGCATTTCAGGGCTCCAATGTTGTCTTTATTATTAGATGAGCTTAGATAAACTGGAACGTTGTGCACATCTTAGGAATTAATTCTAAGGTGCTTCTTTGCCACCAGAAGTCTTTTGAGGATAACAAGGTAAATTACTATTAACCTCCAAAATTTATGCCATGAGGTCTTACTGAGATAACCTCAAACAAGATGAGGAATCCACCCAAAGCTCCACTACAGAGAGCATTTTACAAGTGGGTTTTGGGTAAAATCCTTGACAATTTTGTGCGTAAGCATAAAGAAAAGTTTCCTCCAACTTGTCATCAGCTCTTCCAGAGGAGTGCCCATCTCCAGGCCATCCCTGACAACGTGCAGCTCACACTTCTCCTGGTGGCCACCAGTTCCCAGGGTCAGTGAACCACTGGGTTAACCTGGCACAGCAATTTGTATTCTCTTAAGGGAAGGTTGGACCATCCTCTTTTTGTCTCATAAAAGAAGCCCAGAAACTTATCAGAGGTTAACTCTGTGCAGTAGCTGACAGGACATTGAGAATGAAGAAGAAAACTCTGTATTTGCCATCTGCACAGAAACAAATCTCATCATTTGTTTAAATGAAGTGGCTTTAAAGGTTAAAGCACCAGGTTTGAAAACAGCCAGCAAGTCTGGAACCAAAAAAGCTATTAAATAAATCCCTCATATTTTCTAGGCTCAATAATTCCCTTGTATGCAGTTACAGATGCCCTGATCTTTTAGATTAAGAGCTTTAAAGGCAAGAGCTACGTTCTCAATCTCCTGTTGGTGAGAAATGGGAGTTTGGTCCCATGTTGCTAAGCAGTTCTCCAGAAACCACTTGGCTGTAGCCCACTTCACCTCACTTCATTGAAAGGCAGTGTTCAGCCAGGACAGCAACCCACAGAACTAAGCTCAACATAAAGAATGTGTAAAATGATACAAACACCATCTTTTAACCAGATGACACAGAAATAAGACTGGAACATGTGAAAGGGGAAATCATTGAAATGCTTCTTGAGCATTCAGAGCAAAGATTTCTTCTGCTCCATGTGTTCTGTGAATGACAAGTGCTTTTCCAGCCACAGGAACTGGGGGCTGCATTCACCTCATGTCTAAACAATATGCTAAAACAACCTGAGCTGGTTCTGTTGCTCTGATACCCACCAGGCGAGACTTGACTCTCTTGGGAAGTTCCTCCTCCAAGGTATAAATATCACCACGCTTTACCATGAGCTGAGAACCATCTTCAAACTCGACCTGCAGAGTAGGCAGAAGGTGAAGTAAGACCTTGGTGTCTGTGCTGACACTTCTTGCACAGCCCATTCCCAGACTATGCCACATATGTCCCTTTCTGGGAATACTAAGGGGTATTACCCATCAGGGGTTGGCTCCCATGGATGTTCCTGGCACTGCATGTTTCCAGGACTGCTGTAGGACAAGCAACCCCAAGTTGTGTCAAGGATGCAGAACCCAAAAGTGCTGATTTCATGCAGCCCTGGCCTTATCTGGCCCACGTGGTTTCATTCAGAGCTCCTGTGGATCCTACAATGTCTACGCTACAGCTGGAGCAGCACCCCTGCTCCCCCCTCCCAGGCAGAGCAGTACAGATTTCTACTGATTTTTGATTCCAATATCCCCCTAAAAAAATTAAAAGAAGCTATTCAAGTATAATAAAAGGCAGCCCTGTATTCAGGCCAATATGGTAATAGGAATTTCTTTCATCTCAAACAAAGCATTTTCACGCATCACAAGGAGACAACTGCAGCTACTAAAGTACATTTGTATTTTAACAAGCAGAAAGAGTCAGCCAGGTACAAAAAATGGTGGTAACTCCTCACATCAAACCTTTTCTGCTGAGCACTGATTATATAATGAATTATGCATCAGATGTTAGAGGAATGTTTATTCATAGAAACGTGCAGATAAAAATGTTAAAACTATTAGAAGTTTTCAGGAGCTTCTCATTTCCTTTGCTCAAGACTCATTGTGCTTTTTTGGGTAGTGCAGGAGGATGTACACCACAGTTTGATGTGGGAGGTCAGGTTCAGATTGGACAAATTCAGCAGGGGGAAAGCATCTGGGCTCTGAACCTTTCCTCCTGTGCTCACCAGCTAGACAAGCTCCAAATAACTGATAAGGGTTAGACCCCATCATGAGCACATCTTAGAGCAAGCTACAAGGCAGTCACTTGGACTCCATTTTTCAAACACATACACATCTAATCTCAGCACACAAAACAGAGATGTGAAAGGGAAGCTGCTGCAAAAGAAGTTTAAAATGTAAAAGCTAATCCCTGCTGCCTTCTGGACACACTGATTTCAGAACAGAACTGTTTCTGTGTTCTGAAATGGAATCCTGTCCCAAACCAGACAAAAGAAACACACCAGGAGACTGCAAAAGTATCCACCTCAGGAACCAAAGTGGAAAGCTATCCAGGCTGCTTTCCCCATGGAGAAGAGCTTTACTTATAGGCAACTGCATAACTTGAAAATCAGGCCCCTCATACATATTTTTCTGTCACCTGGCACTGTCTGTGGAACAGCCTATTTCAAATTATTGCACCTTGGAGAAATCAATGACAATTTCCTCTGCTGTGATTAAACTGGGAAGCTTGCATAACAATAGATCTTTATGGAACTATATATTGTACTTCTTCATAACCAGGGTCACCTCAGATCACATCTTCTCTGAAGCAGTTAACATCCATTATACACAGCAAAGAAACCTGTTAACTGACAAGGAGGATTATTGTGCTCTCTGCACAATGATATCAAACACTCTGTGTGGAAAGGATAAAAACCAGAACCACATTTCAAACAAATGCAAGATATGGGACTTCTTCTGCCTTTTGTCCAAAGGCATTAACTCTCTTTAAAAATAATTATTAGTTGCAAATTTTGGCCTTTATTTTGCTGAAGGATGGGCACAGAGTAGACTTTTCAAATCATTATCATTTTCAACTTCTTGGTATCATTTAAAAAGGATTTAATCAAATGAATATAGTCTATTTTATAAAACCTCCTGTGCTGAAACACTGGCAGGGTGTGCCAGGCTAAATCTTCCTTTACTAACACTGAGAACCAAGTTAAATCTTCCTTTATTGACTGCTACAAACTTCCACAAACCAAAATCCCTCACGCAGAACAGATCAAAGCAAGAATCAGACACTTGGCACGAAGCATGTGGGTTCTCTTCCACCCTCACCTGGTAAATGTGACTGATCTGGGCTGCAATAAACTTGGCCTTATAGATGATTCCATCTGTCCACTGCAGTTGAACCAGCTCGCCCTCCGGAGGGGGGCCCATCTGGATGCAGTCTCTGCTCTGAGGACAAAGAGTGGAAGAGGTCAGGCAGCTGGCACCCACAAAGCTCAAGAACTATGTAAAGAGGTGTTAAAACCACTGCTCAAGGGAGTTGCTGCATAACACTGTCATTATGAGAAAGTTTCTGCACTGGTGATCAGCTGCAGTCATCTCAAACAAAACCCTTAACCAGTGAGAGACCAGAGATAAACACTGGCACCTCCTTCTGGTGACAGTACCCAGCTCAAGGGAATTTCTTGCTACAAATCCCAAAAGATCAGATCTCCCACATCAACAAAACCAAGCAGGGAGACCTGCTCTGCTTCACAGTGAATCAATGGCACAATCAAGAGGCAAATGCATGAGCTGACAAGTCAGCCTCTTCTAGACATCACCTCTATTAAGAAAATTCCCTATCTGGAACTTGAAAGTGCTTACAGACAATCTGCTTCCCCCATGAATCACACTTGTCAGTTGAAAAATAAGATTATTCAACCACAAAACAAACAGGATGCAACTTAAAACAAACACTGCTTTCTGTTAAGTCATCTGCATAGAGCAAAGTCACATTTGGGAAAGGAACAACCAAAATGAAATGAGATAATGTATAAACCACAGGAATAAAGAAGAGCAGGATGAGATTTTCTATGCAAGCAGCAACTTCACTTTTTAGTTTTATATTATTTCTAAGTTTCTTGTTGTTCCACCCCAAAGTGCCTAGAAAAGGAATGCAGAGGGATGCACTTTGTACTCATCTATAACAGGAATAGTCTCCACAGAGAGCTGCTTACAATAATGCTTTCTGGGTAAACGTTGTCACTGTAGGAACCATCATCAAAGTTTACTTCATAGAAAGTCTGTGTTGTCATTCCAATCACTTTACATCTGTAGTAGAGTCCATTCCTGTTCTTTGTGATCACAGTCTGTCCAAGGGTCACCTCACGACGAAAAGGAATCTGTGTTAGGAAAGGGAATAACTTGAAAAGTCAAGTCATAGCAGCTGTATCAGAAATACAGGTGTGGAGAAACCAACCAAAAACCAGCCCAAAACCAATCCAACCCAACCCAATCCAAGGCAACTCAATTCAACCCAACCCAACTCAACCCAACTCAACTCAACCCAACCCAACTCAACCCAATCCAACCCCACCCAACTCAACCCAACTCAACTCAACCCAACCCAACTCAACCCAATCCAACCCCACCCAACTCAACCCAACTCAACTCAACCCAACCCAACTCAACCCAATCCAACCCCACCCAACTCAACCCAACTCAACTCAACCCAACCCAACTCAACCCAATCCAACCCCACCCAACTCAACCCAACTCAACTCAACCCAACCCAACTCAACCCAATCCAACCCAACCCAACTCAACCCAACCCAACCCAACCCAACCCAAGGGACATACATTCTGGTTAGCTGCTTTGTGTTTGAAGCAGGTGATGGACACCACGTAGGGCCAGTCGTCTGGCTCCATGGGCACGCCGGCGGCGCGGGCGCAGGTGACGTGGAAGGAGGTGGAGCAGTGCTCATACGAGCACTGGATGCAGGCACCAGACACCTTCTTCATCCGCTTCCGGCAGTAGACACATTTCTGAAAGGAAGCAGAGGCCAGTGGGCACCTGAGGGTGGCTTTAAGGCACCCTGTGACCTGACAGGGTGGACAAGTCCATGTTAGTGTCTGGGGCCCAGAAGCCACAGCCAAAACTGGTGATTTTTGCTGCTGAGAGGTCAAGTCCAATACTTCCACAACTGCTTCCACACACTTGCCTGGAATCACTCATCAGCCAAGAAGCCAGAGCAGAGCTCAATGTATCACTCCCTTGAACATGACATCTGCCAGTACCTCAGCCCTCCAGAACCATGCTGGACAGTGAAGTAGATTTAGGACCAGTTTGAGACTGTGTTCACTGGAGGGCTCCAAGAACAGAGGGCAAAACACACATCAGTGTTCTTGGAGAGCTGCTACAACTCAATACTCATCCTTCTTACATATACAAAATCACTGAATCATTCTGGTTGGAAGAGACCTTTAAGATATATTGAGTCTGACCATTCCCCAGCACTGCCAGGTCCCCACTGACCCACATCCCTCAGCATCACATCTCCATGGCTTGGAAACCCCTCCAGAGATGGGGCAGCCTTGGACAGGCCTGGACAAGCCCTTTTTGGGAAATACATTTTCCTTCATGACCAGCCTAAACCTTCCCTGATGTAGCTTCCTCTTGTCCTGTCACTTTTTCCTTGGGAGAAGAGACCAACACCCGCCTGTCAGGAGCTGTGCAGAGCCAGAAGGTCTCCCCTGAGCCTCCTTTGCTCCCGGCTCAGCACCCCCAGCTCCCTCAGCTGCTCCTCCCCACACTCGGGCTCTAGACCCTTCCCCAGCTTCACTGCCCTGCTCTGGCCACGCTCCAGCCCCTCAAGGTCCTTCTTGGAGTGAGGGGCCCAAAACTGACCCCAGGATTCAAGGTGGGGCCTCTCTAGTGCCAGGTCCAGGGGGACAATCCCTGCCCTGGTCCTGTTGGCCACACTAGTGGCCAGGATGCTACAAGTACCTGTGTGAACTCAAGCAGCAGCTGGATCTTCACACATCCACTGCTAGAAAATCATATTTTCATTTTTTTTGAAAGCACAAAACACAGAGTAACTGTGTAATAATTTTTCCCATTCTATTTAACAGCACATGATACCTATTAGAGCTAATAGAACATCATTTTATATAATGGAACAAAACCATTGCCTGTTTGTTTGACACACATAAACTTATCAGCTGTAAATGTTTCCCTGGTACCCGTGGCAGATTAGCTGCTGTAGTTAACTCAGCCCCTCTTCTGCAAACCAAAGAACTAAAAACATTGTACCAAACATCAGAATTACAGGGGGGTGGGGGGAAAAAAGGTATGAAATCTTCCTGTCATTTTTAAACCCATTTTCTACAAAGCAGATCCACTTATTAGACTAATCTAATCAGACAGCACTTTGAGGGGACAGGTAATCAACTTAAAACGTGTGACTACTTTAAAAAGAAATCTGCATTTTTTCACAGCTAAACAGGATGAGCCTCATGGCACTGCAGAGCTGGCAGGGAGTGTTGGCTCTCACTGGGAGACAAGAGCCATTTCTTCTTCCCTAACAGCACCAAATGCTTGTTTCCAGCTCCTCAGAAATACACAAAACCAGATTTTGAGAACCCCAGTCTAAGGAAATCTAAGTTGGACACTTGCAGAATGTTTCCAGGGAGCTATTGGGAAACTTCATCTTTGGCTTTGAACACTGTCAGTCTAGGGAGTCTGTCACTGATGGGTGGCAGCTCCTTTAGCTGAGGCCTGGACAGGGCAAATCAGGGAAAAATTAACATCACACCCATGAGATAAACATGCATTTGACTCATTAGCATGAAGGGCTCATAGAGCTGGAATCCTGAGAGGTACAAAGAAATATTTTTCCAAGTACAAGGAAGACCAGAGGAAAGCAGCGAATTTTTAGTGCCTGTCTCCAAAGCACGTCACACTGGCCACTGCCCCCAGGTTTGACCCTCTGCCTCCCTCCAAATCCACCCACTCAACATAAACACACTCTGGTTCTGTGAAGGACAGGTTCTTTTTCTCTCTGACATTAAGCAGAGTCTCTCTTCCCCTTTTTCACTCTTCATGGCCTCTCATTTACCCCACCTCCCATTAAAGCAGTGCTGAAAATATGCAGCGGTACAGAACACATGACCTAAATGTCCAGATCCCTATGAATTACTGCATCCCACGGGATCAGAAATGAAACATAAACTGCCTGAGATCACACAATACAAGCCCCAGAAGTACAAACTCACTCTGCTTCTAGAGCTGAGCTGCCTTAAAGGCGTCACCTCCAAAACACGACGAGCGGTCTCGGGTTGTAAACTAGCCAGGAAATGCAAAATCAGAACTGCCAAATTTCCACGTTTTATTTGTGTGATCATAGCTAGAGGCCAGGGCCTTGCTGCTCCCTCATCACCAAGCCAAATAATTATGACCATTCCTTCTCCAAAGAGTTATCTCTCTCTTCTCCTTGAAGGCAAAACATGTGAAAGAAAGGGAGAGAAGTTCATCCCAACTCCTGGGCAACATCTCCCTTCCCTGACCAGGCTCTGCCCCACACAAGTATGAGAAAACTCACATTCACCTCCTGTGAATTAACCCAAGTCAACTCCAAACACAAGCAAAAAACCAAGTTTTTACCCCAAAGGTTAATTTGGCCTTTTTACTTGAACTAACAAAACCCAGGAAATTCCAAGCCAGGGCCTCAGTGTTGCCTGAATGTGTTTTCCAGTCTTTAATAAGCTATGCCTTTATCACTCTGTAAACCATGTTCAAAAGGCAGATAAGCACCCCAGCAAGGTGCACAGCAGGAACACAGCACTGAAAGCAAGTCAATAGCAATGAGATCTCATTATTAAACTGTCAATATCCAATTCTCCAGCCAGCAGGGACAAGTGCTGATATACAGTGTGCTCAATACAGGCTCTCGAGGGAGCATTAACCCTCCAGGACCAGGAATCTGCCTTTATGGATGTGAAGAGGAGTCTCCCAAGCCAGAAGGATTAGCATTCACCTAATGACCCCTCAGTGGCAAGACAAACTCCTTGTGACAGGCAAAAGGGCTGCAAACAATGGAATATTCTGGGCAAATATGATCAAAGGGTGAAGAAAAATGTGAGCTACAGTGAGGCTGAAATGCAGAAGCTGGTGGAAAGGGTGAAAATGCAGAAGATTGGGAAGTGTGGGAGATGGGCTGGAGAGAAGCACCAGTGCCAAGTGCTGTGGGAAAGCAGCACGAGTAGATTTAAAGATATTTTCCTGTGGGAAGGGAGGTAGCAGGAAGAGAGGAGCTTTAAAGCACAGGAGAAAAATCTTGAGAGTAAATGCACGCTGGAGAGTCGGGTCAGAGCTGAGAGTAAGAAATGGGCTGTCTGCTGCATGATGAACACTGCAATTCATTTACTCCACTGAGGAATGACAGCTAATTATTCCAAATTTCCATGTCATAAATAATTTACGTGCACAGGCCAGTAAAACACCATTAATCAGGAAGTGTGCAAACTGCATTCTTTCAAATGATGCAATACCCACAAAGGGACTGAAAAGTCTGTGTCTGGAAGGGGAGAGCTGGTGCATGCTCCAAGCAGAGGAGACAGCTTCAAACAGGTCACTGCAACTCCTTGTTTCCTCAGCCCTCTCACAGTAACTTAGTACAAACATAGTCTTAAAATTTAAAATATAACCACAGATAAAACCTACCCCCTCTTTCCTTATCTTCATCCATTTACTTCAACCGTCCTCAACCTTCCCATCATCCCTTCTCTCCTTTTTCATCTTTTTCAAAGGCCATCTCTCCAGTTTTATCTAGCACTCCATCAACTCAGTCTCTGCCAAAGCCATCAGATCCAACAGCACCTTCAGCCTATCTCCCTAAATGCAGCTGCACACCTTCAAACCACACCCCCCCCAGCTCCTCCACTGACTCCCCATGTACCTGCAAATGCCCATAAAGAATCCAAAACTCTCCACAAGTGTTTTTTTTCCACCATCTCACACAGTTTAAATTCCCTTTGTACTTCACACCCCACACCAGTGCTGCTGCTAGAAGCACCATTGCCTTTCCATTCTGCCATCCAAATTAACTTTTTTAGATCATTACCTAGTTCATAACTATTTCAGTTTTAGCTGAAGAGAATTTATTTGCTCTTTCCTGCAGTAAATGACTTTCATAATGCCACACTGTATGTGGTGACAACACCAACAAACCAAGTGAATTGCTTAAAGCCAGGCTTTGACAAGAACTGAGCTACAAGCCAGGCTCTTGCTGCCTTCAACAGAAGGAGCAGGTGCCTGTAAATCACTTCTTTAAACTGTGTAAGTCAAGGTACTTCACAGGAAAATTCTCTGTGTTTCCTGAGACAAGAAGAAAACGTGAAGTGCAAATGGGACACAAGACTGAAAAAATCTTCCTAACTATAAAGCTTTAATTCAGGTATGAACCAGAAAGATGAGCAGTGGGTTTGTGGCTCTGGGTGGCACAGCCAAGGCTTTGGGGCAGAATGAAGCCTCAGAGTTTTAGGTACATTAATACAGAGCTGGCTCTGTAGGACTGCAAGGCAGCCACAGAAGAGTTAAAGAATTAAGTCATGTTTCCTTGAGAGGCTCCATTAAGCAATACAAGCGAGTCTTGTGTAAAAGGATTTTCAGTTCATCGTTACAAGTGCTGGTAATGAAGAGGATGCATGCTGGAAATGTCAGATGATCCATAAAGAACCACTGCTGCAAGATTTATCACACTCACATCACACTGCTCCATCACTCCACCTGAATAATGAATGCTTTTTACATTCACAGTTGTGTACAAAACCCATTTGCACAACAGAGAAATAACTCTGGAAGCAGAAGGAGGCTCTTCCTAGTCTCTCATCCAGACCCTGGCTGGGCTGCCTGCACTAAAGAGCTGCAGTTAAATCCATCACTGCTCCATCACCTTCCCCTCAGCACACTCCCAACTGTCGCCCAGCTGACTTCTGTACCAAAAAAAAAGCAGCAAAAGCACAATTTATTTTGCAATAACACACTATAGTGCTGGGGCATTAACTAACATTAAGATTAATTGCTCTGAGCTAATGAATCATCCATTACTAATCCCTCAGATGAGGCTACACAACTAAGTGACAAGTTGTAGCTGGACTTGTATTAAATCCTTTGCAGACTCCCACGGTCACAGTCACAAAGAAATGTTATTGATTTCATCAAGAGATTTCTTGATAAAGAGAAATATTGTAAAGAAAGATGAATCAAATTACAGGTGAACAAGCAGCAACGTGTCAGCTTCCTTCTAGCTGTCACATCCCTTCACACTCCTGCCATGCTGGACTTCAAGTAATTTAAGTTTTCAGGTCATTTAGCCCTGACTATGAGCTGAGTAAGTGTCCAAGGCTCAGCCCAGGGTGTGAGCACACTGCCAGAGAGTAAAGAGATCTAAGAATCACAACTTGTTTGTGTGTGAAAGACTGAGGCAGTACCAGAGAAGACATCCAAATGCTACAGCTTCCTCCTGGAGCATCTGGTGGAATCAAGAGTGAGAACATCACCTCCCATATCTCAGCTACTTCACGATCCCACGTGAAGCTTTTCTGTCTAGTTAAAGCCTTTTTTCCTTTTGTTTTTTTTGGTCTCCTGTTCACAAACACTCTCTCCAGGTAAAAGACACCTACCAGTTTCCATCTCTGCTCTGGAATAGCAGTGATGTCCACAGGATGACGCTCTATCACGTTGAGGAAACGAGCCTCGGGAACAGCAATAGCACAGATTATATGGACCCACCTGGGAAAAAAGGTAAGAGACAAGTCAGAGTCTTCCATTACATGAACTAAGTACTCAAGAGGGCAGTTAACATTTCTCTGACTCCCTCAGCATCAAAGCATATTGATGGTGGCTGGCAGCCTTGGCAACATTACCAACAGATTGTTAATCACGGCCGCGCAAAGTAAATGTCGCTGGAACAATTTGGATCAAACTTCCTGTGCATCTGATCCTGCATGATACTAAGTGTTCTGAGAAGACTTTTCTCTGAGAAATCACCAAATTCAACAAGAGTTCACAGCCACGTTACCTCTGCTAAACCTGGTGCAGAGTTTAAGTAAGCACAGTTACTCAAGCCAAGTAGCGAGTAGCAGTTACCTCCATCACACCAAATCTAGCTGCTACAATGAGCATCAAGACCAAATTTACAACACTAGAAGATTAGCTGCAGCATCAGGAAATAAAACAAACAGTAAAACCCATCACTTACCGCCCATCAGTGGTCATCTGAAGAGCTCCTCCCCTGAGATTACACAGGCAACATTCCTGGAGGAACAAAGCTCATTTAGAACTGGACCAGAAAGCTCTGCTAGACTGTCTATCTTTCAAAAAACCCCAAAACTACAGCATATCTGGGATGGAAAGTCAAGCTGTACCATCCCACCACCCATCTCTGTTGCATAATCCCACAGAAGGTTTCCCCCTGGCCCCAGGAGGGTGGGTGCTTACCGCTGCCCATGCGCTGGCGGAGCACCGTGAGCAAGACCAACCTTCATTCACCAAGTCTGGACGTATTCCATAGCAGCCTGAAAGAAACAAGGTTACAGCCTTCAGAGTTTTGCTAACCTATCTCTAGTTGACTTTTCAACCCAGGAGCATCTTTAAAAGCAGGTATAGTGTTTGAGTAATGACATTTCTTTGTCTAGGCTCGGACAAAAAGTCATCAGGAATTCATCGCTGGGAAGAGGGCACAATATGGGACCAGTAAGTCTAAAAATGAAAAATAAAGAACTCCCACATTGGTAACCCTCAACATTTTCCTCTTTTGCAAGGACTGCAACAGCAGCATGTTGATCCTTCAGGCAAGAACTGGGCTCAGAAGTGATTCTACTACTGCTGGGGTGCACACAGGCATCAAAAGAAGTCAGACAAGTGAATTTTAGCACAACTGAAGCAGTCCTCTTTGCTAAGTGGTATTATGAGGAAGGACAAACTCACTAATATTGAAAGGAAATGAAATACATGTATCTATGTCACATATTGAAATAAAGTTTAACCTAACTTCTGGTTATATGAAGTGTTAGAAACCTCTGATTTTACAGAGCATCAACGACTCTAATATACCAGCACCAAATCCTCCTACATACCTTCTCTGCAGCACCAGCAGAGTAAAGCTGTATTGTACTCATTATAAAGACAAGAAATAAGGTCAGAAAAGCCCTTAAAATTCTGTACAAGGCACTGAGGTTTGCCACTGATGACAACAGAGACAAGACATACAAATAGGTTTGAAAAATTGGATCTACATGAATCCTGAAAAGCCTGTAGCAGAAAACTCAACAGACCAGAAATTGTTGGCCAGCATCCCTAACACAAAGTTCATCCCACGGCCTTTACCTATCCTAACAAAACATAGAATTTCAGCTGGAGAGTCTCCAATTAGTGAATTAAACTTAAAAGAAGGTATTCAGAAAGCACTGAGATTGCCACAATAACCTGATTTATAAAAATCACCCACTTAGGCCAGATAAACATGATGTCACAAAAAGTCAATACTATAGATCTCCAGCTGTTTGCCACATCTGAAGTCTCTTTTCATCATATGACAAATCAAGAAAAGCAGATTCAGCCCAGTCCCAGAAAACAAGCAGTGGTGTTGTTGAAAACATTGGAACTGAGCTGAAAGAGAACCCAACAGCCTTCACTGAAACACTTCTGGGGCTCGAAACGGTGGAGAACAGGCTGAATTTTCTGCCTTGATGTCTTGCTTTGTGACCACAGGGAGCTGGACTGTGAGATCTGGGAGGAGAAACAGTCACAATTCCTCAACAGCAGCCTGACCTGTGGGGATGATCCCAGCAGAACAAAATAGTAGGCTCTTTTTAGAGGTTTTTTTCAACACCTTAAAAGCCCAGACACCTTCTCAAAAGCTTTCCTCTCTACGTCCTTGCTGTTGTCATTACCCAGCACAGTTGGGTGAGGGCACTTCTCAGTAACAAGTAGACTGCCAACTGGTTTTACAGTTTGCTGCCAGACGACCCAAAATACACCTCAACACTGCAACCCTATCATAAAAGCAAATGGATTCTCTGCAGCAAAGTCAAAGGGGTATCACAGTCTAGAAGTACAAACAGCAATGAGGAAACAAGACACTGGAGACCACAACAGACTAGATTTAACTTCTGTCCTGTCCTCAAGGGTAGAGCACAGCCAAAATAGAAAGCTCAATTTCTTTGCACTGTGCTCAAGACTGCAGATTAACACCACCATGCCCACATCCCTCTGTCCCTAAGGAGAATCTGGCCACTGAAACCATTCTGACAGACCCACCTACTGCAGACACACAGATGTACAAGATGCAGCCTCTCTGTTTTGACCACAGTTTATGAAGTAACAAAGCAACCTTCATCCTCACACTGCATCACACGCTCTCATCAGCCAGAAGTGACCATAACCAGGGATGCAGCACAGAAATAAGAGTTGTTTTCTGGTTCTCTACCAAGGATAGTCATGCTGAGCTGCACGGTGACCTGAGGACTATAAAACTGGAACAACAAAAGTAATTCCAGCTGATGCAAGTCAAATAAGATTTCCCATCTGTCAAGATCAAACAGCTGAACAGTCACTTGTCCCATCTCCTAGGACGAGTGGAAATGTTAACTAGATGTGGTGCAATCCACAGTGAAGGTACACTCTACCAGGATTAATCAGATCTTCTTTTAGACCTAACTATCAGGGAAACAAACAGACATATGTTCTTTTTGTAATCAAGTGCCATTCCTACAAACAGTAACACAGACACCAATAAAAAGTATCTCAGAAACTGCTCCATAATCTCTGATGCACACAAGAACAATACAGCCTTACTCAGCAGACCAATATTTGAGCCAGTGAAAAGAGTGTGATGAGCTTTGTGATTTCTGCTTTATTACAAAACGTGAAAGATAACCAAAGAAAGAATCTTTGGTATGAGACAGAAGAATCAGCCAACGAAATAAAGGGTAAAAGGAGTTATTTGTGAGTATTTTTAAGATCAGTGATTGCCAAGACAGACTTGAATATAGACATATTAGTATCAGAAAAGGAAGAACTGGGAGCAACAGGTAGAGCAAGCATGGCCAGAAAGAATTCCAATTTAGGCAAAATACAAAAGGAACTCGGGAGTTTGTCAGCACCCAAAACACTTTGGTGAAGAAGGAAACACTCACTAGCATGAACCTGCAGGCAGCATTTGGCACAGGATATCAAGGGACTGGTTCCATCCTCTCCAATGTATGAATTTGAAGGAAGAGGCTCTGTGTTTTCTCCACTTGAGGTAAAGCACATCTCCGGGATCAGAGGTTTGGTCTTTTGTCCACACTTGGAAAGGTGGATGAAAGAGGTGGTCTCCCCTACAGAGACTGGGACAGCTTCTTTATCCATCTGTAAGGACTTCAAGAGAAAACAGGTTCATGTGGCATCACCTCTTCCCTGGTCACAGCTTCAACCTCAAAGTCAGAGCACTCCCCTTGCAAAAAAAACAGCTCACCCAGCACCTGACACCATGCAGCACAAATAAGAACTTTAAATCCTGCCTTCTCATGCACCCCCTCCTCTTCCTCTAGGCCTCTACTGAGATCTGTAATTTATTTTAAAAGCTCAAAGCATTAAAATAATGAGAACGTTTCCCTGCTTTTCTCCTGTAAAAATCTAAATTCTTAAATTGCAGGTGAAAACACCAAGGGGAAGGAAAAAAAGTTAATAAAAGCAAGACCTTCCCTCCCCCTCTCCCATCCTTCTGGCATCCTTCCCTGCTCTTTCTGCCAGAATTTCTCCTGAAGGACATTTCAAGGTTTCTGGTAGCAGACCAGAGTTAAAACCAATGGATTAAACCAGCCCAGCTGTACCCAGTTTCCCTTACAACCATTGTACAGCATCCAGCAATCAGAACAGAGATTTTATTTTTGCTCTGTACAATAAATCAAGAGATTTTATTGAAGGGGGAGGTGGGTCCTGCTTTGCTCAGAAAAAGCTTCCAACATTTTTATATGCATCTAAGGCACGTATTCCTCATGGACACACAAAGCCAGAGTTGGCTCTGTAAGCATACAAGAAGAAATCAATACACAACTGGGCAAATAACTCATTCATCTGATAAATTCTGCCTTTTCTCCTCATAACATATCCCAAAGCATATCAGTAGCTTCCAAAAAAAAATGAGGTATGTGTGCTTACTCAGTAAATTTTGATTTTACTGCTTGTTTGCATATATTCAGCAGTCCAGGACCCTATCCACACAAGAGCAATCACACGCCCAACGTGGCATCGTTTCTCTGCAGGAAATAGTGTTTGCAGTGCAAAAGCTCTTTAACTGTGATTTCCAAAATGAAAGCTGAGAAAGGCAGAGAAGGCAGGAAAGAGGACAAAGCCAGCTCCATCCACCTCTGCCAAATCCAAACGTGCTTCTTGGACGTGTGAGTCTCCTTACCCTAAAGCTCTGGGTTCTGATTGACACAGCAGCCACCACTTGGTGCCCACCACTGGTCCCTCCATCTGAGCAGTGTCAGGAATTACCTGGTTATAGGGGTAGAAGAGGGTACAGACAGCACAGTATGGCTCACTCAGGGCAGCAGCTGCATTGAATTTTCTTTCAGCTGGGAAATTATGTGGTCTGTTCTTCCACTGGAAGGAAAGTAAGGATTTCAAAGCTTCTGGGTCACTCATATCTTCCTCGCCAGAAAATGGAAATGTTTCTAAAAGGGAAAAAAAACACCAAAACAATGGATAGTCAGTAGAGGGGAAATGCAGCAAGGTAGGGTTAAACAGCTGATGTTTCAACATTCAACTCTCCCATTGTTCCTCATATCTGTGTGCCTCAAACACCTCCTTAAATGGATATAATCTCTATTTGACAGGTAGGAGAGACAAGGCAGAGACACCAATGACCTAATGGATCTGGCCATGAGGAAGAAGGAGGAAGAGAGCCTAGATTTACTGACTTCAGAGCTCTCTGCACTTCCTAGCTGTGGAGACCTACAACAGCCTTTTAATGAAGCCAAGCTCAAAATGGATAATGCAAGAGCAAGGAAACATCCCTTGGCTTGGGCCAGCTCCCAGTTCCCACCAGTCAGCAGCAAGTTTGTGCCAACCCTCCCTAGTTCCTCCCACACACGTGGCTGCAGACAGAAATCTTGGCCATGAGATATCCTGGGTTCAAGTTTTCATTTTACTTTTCTGCATCTGCTTCCCAGCTACTTCCATCAAACACAGGCCACTAAGCCTCCAATTTGCATTCACCACCACCTCTTCTCCTGCCAGAGCCCTGATAGGTACTGCTTGTGCTAATTAGTTTGCTAATTCTTTGTTTTCACAAAACCTTTAAAAGGCCCTTGGCATTTTCTGACTGAACCATGGCAGAATCCATTTGTGTTGGTTTGGGGGTCCAAGTTTCTTACCATTCCTTACTAAGGAATTTTGAGTTGCTCTAAGTGTTGAGGAAATTTTCCACACAAGACTAAGTGTACTCATTGCACTGTCAATCTGCAAAGTTTCCAAAAGAACAGCTTTGGCTGAACTCAAAAACATCTTAGTGGAACATTATCCCCAGAGCTCAGCACATTGAACCAAATTGTTCACTGCTTCACCATTAATTACTGGAAATAGGCAGTTAATGTTCTGCTCTCAACAAGCCTAAGTGTCCTCTCCACTTCTACCCTGCTTTTAAGATTTTCAGACTCTTGGGTTACCAGAAAGGATAAAAGGAACTTGCAGTAAAACACTAATGGTTATGTTGCCATCTCAAGATTTTAAATGTTCCCTCCAACTAATCTGATACATATTTGCAAGATAAAGTGGGAAATTTTAATTATGTTTAATTAATCTTTATTTTTTTTTAGATAATGAATCCCAGAATCCCAGCAGGGTGGGGTCAGAAGGGACCTCTGGGGATCATCTCCTCCAAGCCCCTGCTCCAGCAGCTCACCCACAGCAGGGTGCCCAGGGTCACAGCCAGGAGGGTTTGGGATCTCTCCAGAGCAGGAGCCTCCACAGCCTCTCTGGGCAGCTGCTCCAGGCTCTGCACCCTCACCCCAAAGAAGTTTCTCCTCCTGCTCAGGTGGCACCTCCTGGGTTCCAGTTGGTGCCCGTTGCCCCTTGTCCTGTCCCTGGGCACCACTGACAGAGTCTGGCCCCAGCCTCTTGCCCCCCGGGGGCCCTTTAGCTCTTGCTCAGCACTGATCAGATCCCCTCTGAGGCTTCTCCAGCTGAACAGCCCCAGGGCTCTCAGCCTGTCCTGGTCCCAGGGATGCTCCAGCCCCTCAGCATATCTGTACCCTCCACTGGACTCTCTCCAGTGGTTCCTTGTCTCTCTGGAACTGGGGAGCCCAGCACTGGCCACAATTCCAGCACTCCAGAAGTGGCCTCATTAGGGCAGAGCAGAGGGGATGAGAACTTCCTTCAACCTGATCTCACAGAATGCTGCCTGTGTGTATCTGTCACACTTCAAATGAGGGTTACCTCCTAAAAACTGTCTTTTGTTACTGTGGTTTTGTCTCTTGGTTTCCAAAGGCTGATGGTAATTGCTAATACCATGGCCTCCTCCACAACAAAACAGATTCACAGAGATCTATTTTACTGCCTTAACTCCAGTTAGGACACATGGGGAGGTGTCCACACCTTGTGTAAGGTGTAGGCAAAATTCCACAAGGACAATGGCCTCAGGGATGCAGACTGATACTTTCAAGATGTCTTACTGTCAAACCAGAGTTCAACTCTCACCTTTTGAGGAAATCAAGCACCTTTAATGGCATTTCAAGACACGAGCCCAAAACTGAACCACACATTTCTCCAGATTTTAGTCAAGGCACACATCAGGAGGCAGGCAAGGATTTATGATACCAGTGAAATCAATGAAACCAGCATCATAATCCAGAGTGACAGAGAGAGAAAAAAGGAAATGGCTGTTGTATGTTATCAGCACCTTCTTCACTCATCCCAGGATGGATTCTAGGTGACACACAACATTCAGGATGGCTCCTACATTCAAGCAGTTATGCACAAGTAAAAAAGACTAACGGTTTGTCTCAACCCAATCTTAGTGTAGCATATGCATCCCCTTAATTTACATGCTCACTCTTCCTCACTGCAGCCTCCAGATCATCCTTAAACACTAGCCCTGAAAAAGCAAGGAGTGCAGAGAGCTGCTTCTGTTCCCTGACAGGGAAGAGAAGAATCTGTTTGATCAGATTTTGCCCAACAGTGCTGTAAATCAGTCCCCAAGAAATGCCAGCTTTCACAAAAAGTTGCTCCTGAGTCAGCCAGCAAAGTCCCTGCACACCATCCAACAAGTCAAAACAGTGGAAAGAATCTGTCTAATGAGGATCCTTCAGCACAAAGTTTGTTGCAAGGTCTCACACCAAAACAAGCTAACTAGTCTCCACTGCCTTTCAGCACTTCAATCTGCATTGCACACACGCAGGACATCAAAAGCATCACCCTTGGTATGGAAATGGAAGGACTTTTCTATATTCTGAGCATTTCATAATGTGGGCAAGTCCCAGAAGCAATAAATTCCACCCCACAACAGGAGTGAAAGATGAGAGCCTGTTTTTTTGGGTCTAGACTGTTATGGAACTCACAGTGACTGGAATGTGGGAAAAGGAAAATCAGCGATGTGCAGTTGAGCACCAAGAGACTTTCTAATTCTCATTTCTGGATCTGCCAGGAAAAGTTGGACCCCAATGTTCACATGAATTAAGAAGCCAGTGGAAAAGTTAGAACTAACTTTCTCTGCACACATAACAGCAGAGCTAACCTCCACCTCCCTCAGAGGTCAGCGGATCTCATTTTAATGCCATATCGAAGACGAAGCTTTTACTTTAAGATGTTATTTTCTGTGAACTCTTTTTTCCCTTTGCCCAAAAATGCTGCCTCATTCCGCAGCCAGCAAAATGTTTTTCTTGAGAGGAAAAAAGGGTGGGAGGTGAGAAGGGACACCTCCCACAGATGAATTTTGATTCCAGCTGGGTTATCAAAATGAGAACATGCTGCGTTTGCTATCAGTTAAGCGTACCACAAAAAGTTTCAGGGCATCCAGTTATTTTTCAGCACTTTTGCAGCTCAGACAAGGGGCACAAGCATTTCTAAGAGCAGTGCACTCACCCTCATCGCTCGAGGTCTCCTGTTTAACCACTGACAAGGGGGAGCGGGTTGGTGGCTTCCCCAGTGGGTGACGACGACTCTTTTTTATCTCCATCTTCATTTTTGAAAAAGCAGAAGCAGCCTGTAAGAAATCAGAACAAGCTAGATGGGAACCCCAAAAATATCTTGGCAAGGAAAGGGGATTAGAGGAGAGCAGAGGCAGAATCCTTGTTTGTAAGGAGTTCTTGATTTATACAGCAAACTTTTCACTGCCTTTTGGCTGCAAGCAGTAAAGCCTCCTGAGCCAATCACTGTGGGAGGCCAAGCCAGTGCTACCTCTTAAGATGTTGGGTAAAGGTAAACTACAGTGTTTTCTTAAAATCAGAACAGCTTCAAGCCTGCCAGTTCCATTAGTTTATGAAAAGTCTGGTCAACCATATGGAACAGCTTGGAACTCTAGCATGAAAATTATGCACAGGGCATATAGGATCAGAAACATTTTGCAGGAAGCTTTTTAGGACAAGGGTATTTATGTTGTACTGGACCCACCACCCCATGTCCCAGCCAACACAAGCACAGAGGTTTTCTCCTCTCCAGCCTGAAGCTGCTGTGCCTTGGGAACATCTGCAGGAGCTGTGCTGCAATGCTGAGTGTGCCCTGCCCGTGTGGCAAAGCACATTCCCCCCATCCCCACAGTTCCTAACAGTGCTTTGCCATTCCCTCGGCTCTTCCTGCAGTATCATGAAGGAAAACAGAGCTTACATCACATTGCTCTCACTTGCTGCTAATCCCCAACCATTTTCCTCCCTCCTTGTTTGGAGTCTGTCCTCAGGAAAGCTTTCCCCAGGGAGAGGAGATGCCTGAGACAGATTATGTGTCATGAACCATATTGTCCATGAAAAAGTTTCTGTCAGCTTTTCCAAGGCTCAATCTCACCATGGAAAGATCCCCAGGCAACACTACACAGCAGGCCAACGCCTGGAAACATAAAGCATGTGCTGGAGAAACATAAAGCACACGAGCTGGAGGAGTCAGAAGAAAGGGAGAAGAATTATTGAAACGCTGGCACGATCCCACATCCCCTGGGAATCCTTTGGTCCCACCACTCTCTGAATAGTTGCTCTGCAGCAGCCACTTGCTGGTGCTGGCTCTTCCTGCCTACTGTTAGAGATGAACATTTCAGTCTTACCTGAACAATTAGTAGCAGGAAAAGAGATTCTCTATTTTATCTTTTGAAGACAGTGACAAGTTTGATTAATCAGCTAGCATCCATGCAATGATGGATGAACTGTGAGGAAGAACCAGTCTCTCCACCATGGCAATCCCCCACGGCAGGCTCAGACACAACTGAGGACTCCTCTCATTCCAAGTTTGGTCCTCAGCTTCATGCTTAAAACTAGAACATCTTATAGTCTCCTCTTTGACCACACACACTGTAACTCACTGACCTCTGGAGCAATCTCAGTGTTTTCTGCTTCTGCATTCTCCTCCTTCACAGGGATGGCCACGGGCACCGTTTGCTCCCGCCAGCCTGGACTCTTCTGGGCAGCAAACTGCTCAAAGGCCTGCTGGCAGGACATGTGCTCCTTGTCAAACACCACCTTTTTGGTCTGTGGAACCACGTAGAGCATGGGAATGATGGGTCGGGGTTTAAAGTCATCTTCCTCAGCTGGTGCCTCCGAGGGCTGGACGATGTTCAGGAGGGCCGGGGGCAAGCTCTTGTCTGCTGTGGAGGAGGTGGGTGCTGCTGAGGGTGCTGAGGGCCGTGGTGCTGGCACCTCGTGCTCTGCCAGCTGCTGCTGGGCTGCAGGGGGGGGTGGCAGCACCGGCTGCTGCTGCTGCAGGGGAGGTTGAGGGGCTTGCAGATGGTGCTGATGGAAAAGATGCTTCTTCTTCCTCTCCCCCTTCACTTTCGGAGGACGAGCCTTTCCTTTGCAGTCACCTGTTTGGAGGTAATGGGCAACATTTAGCTTCACATGCCAAGATTTCTGGAGATTTCACATTTTTCTCTTTTCATCAGAAAGCTCCAATGCTGGGCTAACACATCCCATTATGGCATTATTCTTCCTTTCAAAGTGGCAGACTGAGAGCTGCAGTCATAGTCAGCCGTGCTTCAGCACTGCCTTACAGAGGCCTGCTTCAGAAAGAAAAGACTTGTGTCATTTCTATGGACTATTTAATTCTTGACTGGAGCAGAAAGGCTGCCAAAATGAATGTTGCCTGGAGGGAAAACATCTAAACCCTTAAGAAACTGGACAGTGTGCAAAAAAAAAAAAAAAAGTAATGTATTGCATTAGCCCTGACTCTGTATTTGATCTTTTCTGTATCAGTAGCCTCCAAAGTGGGGTGCACAAAACCATGCAGGAAGAAAATATTTTTCTACCATTAATAAGCAAAATATATCTTTAAAAGTGTGTTTATTTTACCCTTCTCTCATCCTTTTTTAAATTTCTATTTTTGTGTAATCCTTGTTAGTACACTAACACATGCAGAGATTTTATAAATAAATATACATATATCAGGCAGTGTCCTTACAATTTTTTTTTGGCTGATAAGGGGTCACAATCAAAAAAAGTTTGGAGACCACCACTCTGTATCAGTGGTGTGCTCTAACCTCCTGCACAGCCCTGTTTTCTGCTCCCTCTGTTTGCAAGCATAGCTCTTATCTGAGTATTACTGTGTGTCAATGCATTCCACAGCCCTAGGAAATGAAGAATTGAACAAAGATACCTGAATCATTATTACCAAAAGTTTTCTACTGTAAGGTCTTTTAAAAAGATGCTGTTAAAGCATAAATAAAGTACAGCACTGAACTAAGCCTATTACAGCCCTGGGTACTGAGATATCCCTTCCTAACCCTCGCTCCTGTTGTCCTTGTTTCTCCAACTCACTGTCACTCCTCTCATCTGCTCAGCATTGCAGGTCTCCTACATGGCTGTGACAACAAAAACACTCAATTTTTTTTTTACTAGAGGCAGTAATGACCCATAAAAGTCTTCCCCACCTATCTTCCCAATACAACCCTGTTCAAGGCTCCACACAGTCTGATTTTACAGCAGTAATTAAAATTCCTACTGGCCACCGAGTGAGTGTTTCCAGGTTAGCACAGGAGATGCCTTCACATCTTGCCTTATTCCACCTAAAATGATGGATGTTCCCTTTGCCCAGCTCTTCCTCACTTCATGAATGAAGTTATCAGTTCACTGAAAGGGAAGTAAATAATAGATGCTCCACGGACAGATAGCAGGGCTCAATTTATTTCATAAGAGGCTGTTTTTCACCTGTAGATGCTGTGACTAGATGACTCTGCTACAAAAGGTTGTTTTCCCACTAAGAGGATGGGGAGGAGACCTGATGACAAGGGAAGACAGAGAAAAGCTGTTCACCCTAATAAAGATGCTTTACCAGTCCCAGTCTACTCAGGCCCCCCAAGTAAGGACTAGGCCAAAGCCAACTGGCCAAACCTAGGAAACAGAAAATCAGATAAACCACCACACAATAATGATTTATAGTTAATGAAGAATTACAGGAGGAGGGGTTTGAAAAGAGAAGGTGACTAATCCCACTATCATATGAAGTGCAAAAATCCCTGCTGAAACCTTCCAGGGAATACCTCAATCCCAGCACTTCCCAGGAGTCTGGTCTGATGACTTTATTTACACTAATTTATAAAAATGGGAACAAGTCCAGCCCAAATAGTTATTGTTGTACTTGTGTAGGCAGTCCCTCAGATAAACTGGTTTGTTCCATCACGGAGAAAGGAATATTGAATTTCCTTAGAGGAACAAACATATTGAACGAACAGCAAATTGGATTTTTCCCCAGTTGCACAAAACCAGATCATATTTACTCTCTATACACTTGGAGAATTCTCTACCCAACAACAAAACAAATGCCATTCGCCAGCTTTATTGACTTCTAAATGGGTAATTTGACAGCAGCTGGCAAGTAGAACTTTGTTTAAAAGTTTCTGCATTAAGATGAACAAAGTAGTTTGCAAGTGAAGCTATAAAATCAGAAGCCAGGAAAGGAAGAGGTAAAATTCAAGGTCCCTATCTGGCTATCATGAATATTTCTAGAAAGGAGAGAGATCTTTGTGCACAAATCAGTATGGCAGGTTAACAGAGGAAGATCTATCAGCTGTCCTTCTGCTGAAGAAGAAAGGCACACAGAGCAGGGCTAGGACACATGGGAAATGATGTTTTTTTCCTAGTGAGAAAACTTGCTTGTCTACAAGTAATTTGAACTACTATACACAGTTCAATGAAGTTGCAGGTATAAAATAAAAGGGAAGGGGTGTTGGTGGGGAAGTCACACCTCTTACACAGGACTGTACACCCTGGCTTTGGGCAATGAGGTTATAAAAACCTGCTATAGGAGTATGGACTTCATCTGCTAGAGCAATATCTCAGGTACTGAGAAAAGACAATTAGAAATGGACTTCAGCGTTAGTAACCTAGCCACAACTTTAACTAAATAAGCTGTACTGTCAACAGCTGAAAAAGAATTTGAAAATTAGACTTATTAATCTAACAGAAGCACAAGCCCAGAGATAAGATGAAACTCTCAGCAAGAGACCAGCCACTACTAGACAGTTGCCTAATTCTTGAGATCTTGCCTGAAGTAAAACCCCCACGTAGCAAACAGTCATTTAAAAAATCAGCTATGCACCAATTTGCTATTGCATACAGGTACCAGCAGAAAGGTTTTCAGCTCTGGTTCACTGGCATCTTGATCACAGCATCCCCTGATGTAATCACGTCCTTCGTTTACAACCCCAGCACTCAGGAGGCTATGAGGGAATGCCACTTCAGGAAAGGTGGTGGAAAATAACACACAGCTATTAAGCAGCTGGGCATCTCATGGCTTTTCCTCCTGTTATTAAAAGCAAGTATCCTGTAAGACAGATGGTTTGTACCCAAGTCTGCAGGACTCTGGACAGACACAGCATCACAGGCTGACTCCCAGGGTGTGGTCATGCTGCTTAGCACACCCAGAGAGGAGCAGAGCCTACACACTCTTCTGTTTTTTAATTTCAAGTCCCAAGACAACCTGCTAAGAATTCTAAATACCTTAACAGCAATGTAATAAATTATGAATATAAAGCTGTGTCACAAAAACCAGAAGAAACTACCTTAAGGTATCTGGGTCAGAAAACCTCAAGTTATTAATACTCAGCTACTCCAAGTAACCAACATGTAGCATAAGACCTACTTTGAAATCTCACTCTTCCTCCTTCTCAAGGTCCTATCTTCTGGTGGCAGTAGAAAATCCAGACCAATTAAAACCAGAGGAACAGAAAAAGGAAGTGAAGGTGGGAGTTAAATTGCCACGAGCAGGGCCACCCAAACAGATGCTATTTTCTCTTTCAAAATGAAGCTGTGAGACACTTGTGGGAGATAATGCAGACAGTGGGATGCAGAAAACGAGACAACTCATTGGTATTTAATTGATGCATTGTTATAAGGAACTTGTATATTTGCTACCAGCCACACTGAGCACTAGATCCCTTAAACTGCAAAGCAAATAGTCCAGTTCTAGTGCCTGCAATGGTGCTGAAAATAAGTTTTGCCCTCCTGTGCTAACAGCTAAAGAGCTCTTAATATGTAATCTAAGTGTATGATTTGGAACCTGTTCAGCTAGAACAGAGCCTGTATTGCTCCTGTGCCATTCTAAGGATCTGGGATCTGTCCTTGTCACTTATCTTGTCTCCAAAGGGATATCAGCATTTTCGGGTCATTTATTACAAGCAGCAACTGTTACACTTGTACAAGAGCTAAGAGCACACAATTTAACACACTGCTGATGCTTTCAAGCTTGGGGCAATAGAAATTAACTATCTGCACCATGCTGCTCCTGCTCTTTACAACACTGATCTTCAAACTCCCCATTTCCTAGGAAAAGAGAAAATACACTCTCTAGCTAAGAGACTCTGCAACTGAACAAAGACCTCATTTCTTTTCCCACAAATTTCCTTTAAGATCATTATCAAGGTTCTCTGAAGAGTCTGCAGCATCACTCTTCTCTGAATGCTAAACAAATAATAGATATCTACAATATATGAAAATGAATTCACTAGTGTTTATGAAATGCTCCAGTGCCTTCAGAGAGAGCGAGCATCACAGACACAGCAACTACCTAACCACACACATTAGGGGGGAATAAAAGCAGCTTACTCTCAGCAAGAATTACAACCTTTCATACCCAGCCAAGAAAAAAAAAAGGTAGCACAGAGCCTCCAGCAAGATGGTTGAGGTCAGGCCTTTGGACTAAACATATGCAGAGGGATCATAAAGGACCAGGAGTTGTCATGGACTGGTTTTAACTTCAGCCATGCAGAGAAAGCTGAAAAGCTGCCCTGCTTTGCACTCATCCAGCAGCTGTGGACCCTACACAACCTAAAGCTGACTTTATTTACAGTCTCTGTATGAAATGGGGAGGAAGGGAGGAAAAGGGGAAAGAATAATTGCACGAGGGAGTGCACAAAATTTCTTTTCAAAGCAGGACACAAAATACATGTATTTGTTTCTGTAGGAAATATTTTCAAATATTCCTTCCCTAATATATATTTTTAGAAATCTGTAATGGTTTGGGCAGAATTTTCAAGCCCTGTCAGGAAAGCTATTTGGACTGACTCCTTAAAGAGAGGGAAAAATCAATTGGTGCTGTAAATGATGGTGCATTTCAGTGAGCATAGATTTAGTATTGGGAAAGACTCCACTGGTATTTCAACAGAAATAAACTACAGCAGACAAGTTATTTACAAACATGGCTTTGAGAAAGAGTTTGCCCCAGTTGCTCACTGGAGTGACCTGGAATCAGTGGGCAGGGCCCTCACCTTCTCCATCCATCACTTTGCTTCTCTCCTCCTCCTCTAGATCTGGCCCTCTCTTCAGTTCCTCTTTTACTTTCACATCTTCCAAGGTAGTTTCCATAGCCATGACATCCCCAAGAGACTTCTGATCCTCTGTTTTATGTCTTCTGGGTTGACTCCTTTTCCTGTGAGACCTAGAAGGACAGAAGTGTGATCTGACATAAAAGAACAGCCTATATAGAAACGATCACTGACTTAAAAAGCTGAATATGAAACAAAAGGATCTTCTTTGGAGAGAAAACAAAAGGTGGCCAACAACAGCTACAGGGCAAAACAGATATCTGGAAGGAAACAGATGAACCTTGCATAACTCAACATTTAAGATCCATTCACAGCAGCCATTAATTGTCTGGGTTTCTCCAAGAGCTTTTCCCCACCACTACTAATGTAAGCTCATGAGCTGCAGTTAAAATCATTTTAATTGTATTTTAAAACAATTTTGCTTGTATTTTCAAAATACAAGATAAAAACTTGTTCTAAATGTTTCTTTCATCCTTTGCCTTTGCTCCATCGTTTCTTTCTGTTCTCTACGTGCTTCCCTTTGGCAAACTGCTGGAAGTCTGCAAAGCATCATCTTCCAGCTCTGAAACATTCCCCAGCACTGTCACTTCCTAAAAACTATCTAATGAATGTTTATAGCATAATCAATAGGCACTCTCTGATTTTTCAGTCATATAATCTGCAGGGTCCAAGGCTTACGAAGAAGTTTAACTAAAAAAAAGTGCATATTAATAGCAGGCTAACACTAACAAGCCAATAGTGATGCTGTTCTTTCTAAAGAGTCAGCACTGCTAAGATAAGGAGATTACAGTAGCCACAATGCAAAGACCAAAGTAAATGCAGAAATCAGGAGAATGTCTTCTGCTTAGGGACCATCCTAGGAGTCAGGCACCCACACAGACACTCACTCTCCACTGCTCAAGTGGGCCAGGCAGAGAAAAGTAGGAAGAATAAGAACCAGAAAACTTGTGGGTCAAGACAAAGTTTAATAGGTGAAGGGAAGAATAAAAAGAGGAGAAATAGGCAAAGGAACTCCACTCACCACCTCTCACAGGCAGCCCAATGCCCAGCCAGTCTCGAGAAAAGTAGGAAGAATAAGAACCAGAAAACTTGTAGGTCAAGACAAAGACAGTTTAATAGGTGAAGGGAAGAATAAAAAGAGGAGAAATAGGCAAAGGAACTCCACTCACCACCTCTCACAGGCAGCCCAATGCCCAGCCAGTCTCCAAACAATGGCCACCTTGGAAGCCCACCCATGCTACTTCTTTCTCTGGCCCAGTTTTTATAGCTCAGCATAATGTTTTATGGGATAGGAGATCCCTCTGGACACTTTGGGTCAGCTGTCTCAGCTGTGTCCTCTCCTCATCTCTTGCCCATCTGCAGCCTACTGGGCAGACTGGGAATAAAGGGAAGCCTTAACACTGTGCAAGCACCATTCAGCAACAGCCAAAACACTGGTGCCTATCAGCACTGTGCAGGCACAAATCCCAAACACAGCCCCCTGGGCTGCTATGAAGAAAGTTAACTCCATCCCAGCCAGACCCAGTACCATTTTTATTGCAGGATCTATCAAATAGCTCCTTGAATGTTGGGTTTAAGTCTAACAAGCTCTTCTTCAAATGAGACCAACTCAGAGACCTGCTGGTTTTACACCATTTTTAGCATGTAGACACCTTTTTGGTTTGTTTTTTTTTTTTAAGGCAGCATCTTCCACATGGCTTTGCCTCACATCAACTGTGAAACACAACCATGCTGCATTCATGGGCCCAAAACTCTAGAAGAGCTGCAATTCAGCTTCCCATCCTCAGAGCCCAGAAACTCAGCTGCTAATTGGGAGTACAATGGAGTTAAGAAACCTTCATCACATAACCAGCAAAGAAGGAAGAAAGAAAATTCAACCTGAGATGAATGATTAATAGAAAAGAAAGCTGCTCCATATGCACAGGGATTTATAATTGCCAGACTCTAACCATATGGTAGCCCTCCAAGTAGAGATGTTAACTTTGCACCTGCAAGATATTCATTAGCAGGAACATGAACCCAGAAGGATCAACTTTTCTCTTTACCCATATTCTAAGTATGCACCACCTACCCTGGGGGAGAAAAGCAAGGTGGGAGGAGAAGATAAACCCCTAAGACCTCTCCACTGCACCTGGAACTTTCCATAGCTGAAGAAAACATTGAAAGTAGTAGAATCAAGTGTTGCAAGCTATTTTTAGTAAAGTGTGTGTTTTATTCCTGTGATGTAGAAATGGCAGACAAAAATTAAATCACAAAGCTTTGTATTCACAGTAGATAAAAAAAAAAAAAATCATCTTTTTGCAGTGCTCTTCTCACTCTGAAGTTGTGGAAAAATGAAGAGAGGCAGAAAGCACATAATTTAAAAAAAAACCCTGTGCTTCCACAAATACAGAATACCAGAAATGGGCTTTTTGTGGACTAGACTAAAACAGTCTCACACTGAAGCCATAAAGTAAACAAAGTTGAGTTTTTCAAGGTAACTAAGTATGAATGACCTTAGAGAAGAAATAACACATCTCTCTGCAGAGTTTAAAAGCTCCATTTTCCAGGAGAGCTGGCAAAAAAAGCAGCATTTGTACTCTTTGAAGAACAGACCACAAAGTGACTTTAATTAAGTAGCTACAACTGTGAAGAGGTTTGGGCAGAGGTGAATCCCATCCTTCCACTGAAGTCCATCCTGCTGAGAAAAGCCAGTCTTCAAGTCAAATTATGCCTAAGACATAAGCATAGGAGAGAGACTACTGCTAAGCAGTATTCAACAGCTTCAAAACTGCCTCAGGATAATGCTGACATAATCTAGGAAACAATGAGTAGATAAGGAAAAAAAAGGACCTGGCTCTTCTGCAATAGGCTCAGGTTAAGAGAGAGGCTTCTCTGCTAAGCAATAGGCTCAAAGAGGGAAAATAATGCTGAGTGTTCCTATACCTTACACTGTGTAAACATTACACATATCTAGGTAACCCTTAATAGCCAGAGGCAGTGGAGAGATTTTCAGCTTCCAGATGTGGAAGGGAAAGATCCAGGGATCCACTGGAGTCGAGACAGTCACTGTCCACAGAGCATAAATCTCATTGTGCCTCTGAGACTCCACTGCTTGCCCTAAAGGTCACTAGAGAAGGAAGAGCTGAAAACACTTTAGGAAGATAACCCCTGGAGTGGAGCAACACTGCAGAGGTCAGTTATCTGCCTAATTTATGTATTATTTATTATGCCTTTTGGAGCATGGATTTAGTAGGGGACACACCTTCCCACTTCAGCATTTGTAAAATAATGGACAAATCAGTTCACACAGGAAAGGCAAAACACAGGACCACCAGTCCAAAGCAACACCAGTGACTGAAAACTCCTGGAAGACAATAAACACCAGTGCTAGAGAGACACTCTTATTAGCATGCTAACTTTTAATTTGCTTGAATGCATAAATAAATCAGCTAGCATCAAATTATTAGATCAATATTTTTTTGAGCTGTTACCCTATCAAAGATGGGGCCCAGAACCTAAAGTCTATTTAAAGATTTTTTCCTACACTTCCAAGAAGTGATACTGGAACTGAAATGACAGGCAGAGTCTTAGATCAGGATGAAGCCAGCACAATTCCCAGAGACTGCCACCACTCACACCAGAAACTCAACAATGAGAGTGGAATGAAATAAGCTTGTGTGCTACATGGCAAGCACTTGGGTAACAGGCAGAGCAGG